AGGAGGAGAAGGAGGAGGAGGAGGAGGAAAAGGAGCAGAAGGAGGAGGAGGAGGATGAGGAGGAGGAGGAGGATGAGGAGGAGGAGGAGGGGGCGAGACTGGGAAAGGAGGAGGATATGGAGGAGGAGGAGGGGGCCTCTACGCGTGGCCCACCGCCCACTGCACACGTTGTGCTCCACGTCCTCGCCCCTCCCCTTCTCGCTTTTAGGAGCCTCCTCCCCCCAACCCTCCCCTCCTCTCCTCTCCCCTCCCATTCCCTCCCCTCCTCTCCTTCCTCCCTCCTCCCCTCTTTCTCCCGTCTGCCTGTCTGTCTGTTTCCTCCGTTTCTTCTTATCCCAGGTACCAGCTGGTGACCCCTGGAGCGGTGCTTCCTCCCTCCTCCGCTTTTCCCCTTGACAACCTGTCTGTCTGTCTCCTCCGTTTCCTCTTATTCCAGGTGCCAGCCGGTGACCCCAGGAGCGGTGCTCCATATCAGGAGGCCTCCTTCCTCGCTTCTGCCCTCTTCCCCTCGTCGGCCTGTCTGTCCGTCCCCCCCTCCTCCTCCTGTTCCAGATGCCAGCCGTTGACCCTTGGAGCGGTGCTCCGGGGGCCGCTTGGCTCTAGCAAGGCCAAGATCGACGCCCTGTCCAGCCATCGGGGATCAGGCATCAGGGGAAGGGGAAGAAACATGGGGGCGGTGCTTCCAAGGCCAGCCACGTTTGCAGCGTATGGGATGGTATCTGGTGTTCGCTTTCCGCGCCCGAACAATGCGACGCGGCCCATGCCCATCATCGCGTTCCACGGCGACGCCGATCCGATCAACCCGTACGAGGGGTCAGGCCACTTCGACCATTTGTCTTCTTCGTCCCGTTCTCCACTGCTTGGCTTCCCGACCCTTCTTCTTGACACTCTTAACCCCTCCTCGTTGCTTTCTTGCTGCCCCCCACCAGGCTAAGCAACTCCTACACTGGTTCTTTCTGTGATGCTCATCCTCCTTAACTTTCTCTTCCTGTTGCCGTTCCACCTCCTCTTTCCCGTTGTCCTCCTTCTCCTGTACTTCCCCTTCTCTCTCTACTTCCTCCCCCTCCTCCTCCTCCGCCTCCTCCTCCTCTCACCAGGCCCCAACGACTACTGGTTCTCCACCGTGCGGAGCGCCATCTCCCAGTGGGCGGAGTTCAACAAATGCGCGACTGTCCAGAGGCCCTCCACTCTCCCTCTTCCTCTCCTCCTCGTCCTCCTCCTCGTCCTCCTCCTCATCCTCCTCCTCCGCCTGATCCTCTTTTCTCGGCGGCGAGCCTGGGGGGAAGTGATAAGGAGAAGGCCTTCTCAGCAGGCTCCGAAGTCCCTTGGCCTTCTGAGAAGTGTTCTAAGCCTTTCTCGAAGACGCAGCAAACTTCGCAGAAGTCCCGCCACATTCTGAGAAGGCCTTCTCCGTCTCACTTCCCTCTCTCTTCGCCGCGAGGCGCCCACGGTTCGGCACTGGTTGAAACCCCGACCTCCCACCCAGCGCAAGGTGCGCCCACGAGCTGCCCATGGCCAGCCGCTGCCCGAAAATCCCGCGCACCTGTCGAACGACTTAGCTGAACAGTTAAGTTCCCCGTGTGATAGCACGGCTTGGGACACTTAGTGGATGCAGTAACTAGATGTTTGCCCCCCTCTTGACCGTGCCTCTCTGCGTCCCCCACCTTTCGTCTTCCGTCAGCGACAGCCACAGGCTGTGCGACCCCATGTGGCCCCCCCAGAGGCGCCAGGCTGGTTCAAATGTGACGGTGGTGCATCACGGGAACTGCTCCGCGAACGCGGACGTCGTGTTGTTCAAGATCGCGGGCGGGGGGCACACTTGGCCGGGGTCGACCTTCGAGTTCGACAAGACTCTTGGTGAGACCACGCAAGAGCCACGGTCGCACAGGCGTCCCAGTGGCCTGAGGGGCCAGAAACCATCCAACGTGCCCCAGGCTGCACTCGTTTGACGGAGTTACCTTCTCCTCCTCCTACTCCTCCTCCCCCTCCTTCTCCTCCTCTCCTGCCTCCTCTTCCTCCTCCTCTTCCTCCTCCTCCTCCGCCTCCTCCTTCCCCTCCTCACTCCTTCTCCTCCTCGTCCTCCTCCTCCTTCTCCCCGTCCCTCGACATAGTCTTCTCCTCTTTCCGTCTCCTTCTGGTGCATTCGTCTCCGCTCATGGGGGCTATTTCTGGTGGTATCTATCTGGGTGTTCCCGAGCCCACATCCCATTCGGGTGGCCCGGCGACCGTGGCGCGAGAGATCAGCGCGAACTCCGAGATGCTCAAGTTCTTCGAGCAGTACATGCTGCCCGAAGGCGCCGCCTCGTCTTGCTTATGGCCCCGCTTCCTCCAGATCTTATGTTTCATTTACCTCCTCCTGCTGAATCCGCGACCCTGGCATCTGTCCAACTTGGGCCGAAAATCCAGACCACACAACGATAGGTGTGTGCCCATTGTACTACCCTTTTCCTCTTCCCCCCTCACTGCCACTCCCTACTCCCCTCCCCATCATCTTCGAACAGGTGCGCGCGGCGTACATGTTTGTATGCATCGTGGCAAATCCGTGCTTCCGCCTCTGGCCGTTCAACACCAACACGTCGCTCCTTCATGTTTGGTCGGGCCTCCTCTTCCGAGGTCCACTGCTCGATCGTTGCGAGGCCATCCCCCCTGCCAATCTTCGTGCGCCAGCCTCTCTTCGGATGGATCGGCGCGCCTTAGGCTGCGTCGAATTCTCTCCTCATCAAGATGTTCCCCCTCACCCGTCCCCACCCTTCCCCCTTGATGGGTCCTGGCCTTCCTCCACCTCATCCTCCTCATTCTTTCCTAGTTCGGAGCATGCCGGGCATGCGCCGCCGCGGATCGTGGTTGCTCTCTGCAGGTTGGGTCTTTTGACATGCTGGTTGGTTGGGGGCCCTGTGCCCCTGAGCGGTGCAGGGTCTGCCCTCGAACCTTCGCTGCTGGAAGGCCCAGCCTTGCTCCCGACGTGTCCGATCCAATCCTCATTCTTTCATTCCTCCTCATCCTCCTCACCCTCCTCTCCCTGTCCCTTCCTCGCCCCGCAGCTTGGCATCGCTCGGACGTGTGCAGTTCTCCTTCGGCGAGGACCATCGAGGAGCATCTTTGATCATTTGGCAAAAAACACCGCGCACGAATCCAAACAATAACACAGGGGATGGACGTCCGAGCGACGGGGAGGCAGGGTGCCTCACACAGAGCCCCCCGCGCGGGCGTCAGTAGGGACGCATCCGCCCGTGCCTGCGGCGGTGGCACGGCAGGTCCCCCCGCGACGCAGCTGAATGAGAGAGGGGGCCCATGCTGCAGAAGGCATCGGGTTGGTGCCCGAGTCGGTGTCGAGGCGAAAGCAGAGCAGAGGAGGAAGCGGTACCAGTACCGCTGCCCTTCCGTCGCTCTCGCCTTTTTGGGCCTCCTGGGAGGCCCTCGTCGCCACCGCGGATTTTGCCTCGAAGGCCTAGTCAGAACGCACCCCGGGAGAGGTCCGGGGAGCAGCGGTATCGGTACCTTTGGAATCCCAAGAAGAAGAAACTCTCCCTTGTTGCATTTGTTGATTCGCCGATCGGCGCGGACCCCAGCCTCGCCCCCTCCCCCCCCATAGCCCAGATCTTGGCTGCTTTGGGCAGCTGCTTTTGGTGACTGGTCAGGACCCTCCACCCCCACCTTGCTTGCGCGGCTGGCAAATGCAGATCGACTTGGCACAGGCCCAGACTCAGACCCCCCCTTCCCCACCCTTCGGCGACGAAGGCACAACGCACACCCATACCCATAGGGGGGACGGAGGAGGCTACGAGCGCGTGTGATTGGATGGGGGTCCCCGCTCGAACGGGAGCCTCCCCCGCAGTTCGACCACCCGCAACCGTGCCCATTGCCAGTCCTCCTCGGTCCGATCCCCCCTATGGGTATGGTTGTGCGTGCTGTTTGTTGTTCGTTCGTCATTCCAGCACATGCCCAAACCCAGAATACCCAGACATCTGGCCACTCCAATTTTTTCAACGCGTGGGACCCAGAGGTCTGGACCACTTTCCCAGGGCCGATTCCTCGTCCAGGATGGTCTTTCACGGCCCCGAGGCCCGGCGAGGGCCCCCGGAGGCCGAACACGATCCCAAACCCGGCCGGTCCATGGGGCGTCGGAGTTCTGGCTAAGAACACGCACCATGGATTTTTGTTTGTTGCGGGGGGGAGGTCCTCCCCCCGCAACAAAAAAAGATCTTCCCCCCCGGGCTAGGATCGGGATAAATCGCTCCAGAGCGTTCCGGAGCGCTCTCAGAGCGTTCCGGAACGCTCTGGAGTGGCCGCGGCGCCCAATACATCCTCCAAACCCGCCGACTCTCAGAGATTTCGAGTTATCCCGATCCGATTTTGTCCCGATCTTCGCGTCGTTTTAGAGGAGGGAAAGCGACCACCGATGTACAGTGGGGGCGTGTGCCAAGGAACCAGTTGGATTTTGCCAGGGTGCCCTTGGTTTCTTGGATGTCGATGTGCCCCCAATAATATTTTGACGATGCTCGATCGACAGATTTGGGTTTTTACTGAACAAATCGCGGATTTCAGGGTTGGGTTTCTTGCGGAGGTTTCTTCTGGCCGAGCCCCCACTGTACTGGGTCGCCCAGCTTCGTGCACCGCGCCCCGCGGTGCGCGGCGCGCACTTGCATCCGCGCCCTCGCGCTGCCACCCTTGAACCGTGGCAGCCGCTCTGGCCCAGAGCGCGGCGCGCGATGTCATCCCCGCGCCCCCGTGGTGAAGCCGCCGCCTCCTCCTCCTCCTCCTCCTCCTCCTCCTCCTCCTCCTCCTTCGCCTCCTCCGTCTCCTCCTCTCGAGCCTCCTCCTCCTCCTCCTCCTCCTCCTCCTCCTCCTCCGCCTCCTCCCTCCTCCTCCTCCTCCCCCCTCCTCCCCCCTCCTCCTCCTCCTCCTCCTCTTCTTCCTCCTCCGCCTCCGCCTCCGCCTCCGCCTCCTCCTTCCTCCGCACCCGCCCCCTCCCCCCCCTGGCTTGGCCAGGCAGCCTCGAGCCGGAGGAGCGGCCCGGCGACCCCGCCGCCCCGGAGCCGGTGTCCCGGGCGGCCGTGTCGGACCAGGACGGCTCCTCCTCCGCGGGGGGGGCTCTTCGGTCGGCGGGGCTGGGACGGCGAATAGCCCCAGACATGATCGCGTCGTACAAATATCACGACGGGAGGTTTTTGCCAGTTCTCGGCCTCGGGGGGCCCTCACTGGGCCTCGGGACCGTCAAAAGACGAGTCAGGACGAAAAACCGGTCCCGCGGAAAGGATCGCGACTTCCAGGGCCTTCGCATTGAAAAAATGAGGACGTCGCATGTCTGGGATTCGTTCCGCTGGCGAAAGAACAACACTCACACCCATACCCACAGGGGGGACGGAGGGGGCTATGGGTGCGTGTTGTCGGATGGGGGTCCCCACTCGAACGGAAGCCTGCCCCAGGGTCCGACGACCCGCACACAGACCCAATAGCCAGTCCTCCTCCTTCGGGTCATCCTATGGGCACGGGTGTGAGTTGTTCGCTCGTCATCCCAAAGCGCTCCAGAACGCTGCCAGAGCGTTCTGGATGGCGCTGAGAAGGCCGCGGCGCCCGACACATCCTCCAGAGCCGCTGGATCTCAGAAGTGCTGTGTCGATTCAAGAGAGGAGAGACCACCCCGACCCCGACCGATAATTGGCGCTTGCTACACGGCCCTGGGCGTTTACCAAACAGCCTTGCTCTGTTCGATTCCTCCCCTGGGTTCATTTTCTGAATGGCCTCGCTCGTTTGGGTGCTTGATCTCAGGGTGGATGCTCTGCTCTTTGCCGCTCCTCTCCCGATGTTGTCCTCGTCCTGGCTTCGTCGTAGCCGTCTGCTCTCTGCGGGGCCTGAGGGCTGCCTGAACGCGTAGCGACTTGTGACGTCCCAAACCCTGTCAGCGGCGCGACAGAAGCTTCCCGAAGGTCCTTCCAAGGAGCTCTGGAAGCTCTGGGAAGGAGCTTCGGGAAAGCTTCACAGCACACGTTCCTCGGGGAGGCCCGCCCGATCGCGCAGCAATGTGGGTGAGACCCACCTGCACATGGGGGTGCGCCTCTGGCTCTGGTTGTGCTCAGCTTTGCTGAGAATTCTGGGCCAGAGCCCCCTGACTGATTCGCCACGTGTCCGGGAGAGAGGAAGGAGTCCGAGGCGGAGGAGGAGGAGGAGGAGGCGGAGGAGAGCGGAGGAGGCGGAGGGAGAGGCGGAGGAGGGAGGCGGGGTGCAGAGGACGGGGGGAAGGAGGGCTCGGAGGAGAGGGGGGGGAGGACGAGGAGTGGGAAGCCGAGGAGGAGGAGGTGGAGGGGATGGCGAGATGGAGGGAAAGGGAGGGGGGGGGATTTCCTGAGGGTCATTCCGTTCTTCCCCTCTGTTCTGCTCCTCGTGATGTGTGCATCTTCGCGTGCATTCTTTTTCTGGCAGGGCGGAAGCCCCGGAAAGGTGTCCAGCGCGACCTCTCCACCGACCTCTCCGGCTCGCTGGACCCCTGTATGGGTCCAGATCGGCATGATGCCATCGTATGCCCGTCGTATGGATGCGTGGCCCCCGCAACAATGCCCGAGGCATCGAGCTGTGCCTTGGCCGCAATTCTTGGCCCCTGCACCCCTTGCGGGGCTGCCGCCGACTTCGATGCGCTCCAGAGTACCTCAGCTACGTTTTCCCTGGTCAGCTCGGGCGTGGTCACCTTTGCACGACTCTCTGGTTGCTGGAGGCCGGGGTCCGTGGCCCCATAGAGTTCGAACGTGTTGTGCCCCTTCTCGTCCTCATCCTTGCTCCCTCCTCAGTCCTTGGAGCCATTCTTCCGCTTGGTTTTCTTTGTAAGAACCAGTATCGGCATGCCAACCATCATCACCCGCAGCATCACCGCCCTTCACCACCCCCACCACCACCACCACCACCACCACCACCATCATCATCATCATCATCATCATCATCATCATCATCATCATCATCATCATCATCAGCATCAGCATCAGCAGCAGCAGCAGCAGCACCATCAGCATCAGCATCAGCATCATCATCGTCATCACCATCATCAGCATCATCATCAGCATCAGCAACATCATCATCATCATCATCATCATCATCATCATCATCATCATCGTCGTCATCGCCATCAGCGTCATAATCACCAGCATCATCATCATCATCATCAGCAGCATCATCATCATCATCGTCATCATCGTCATCATCATTGCTTTGTTCATCAGCATCAACATCAGCATCATAATCAACATCCTCATCATCCTTGTCATCCTCATTGTCATCATCATCAGTATCACCATCATCATCGTCATCCTCCTCCTCCTCCTCCTCATCATCATCATGACCATCATCATACGAATCAGCATCACCACCAGCAGCATCATCACCATCGTCGTCGTCAATATCATCATCACCATCATCACCACCATCACCATCATCATCATTTTCAACCTCATCACCATCCCCGTCCCCATCCCAATCACCATCCCCTTCCCCACTCCCCTCCTACACCTTCCCGCCCGCTCCCTTTCCCCCCCCTCCCCATGCTCCTCCTCCCCGTGCGCCGCCCCACTCCCCTCCTCCGTCCGCCGCTCCTCCTCTTCCTCCTCCTCCTCCCCCTCCGCAGCCGCTGGTGCAGCTGCTGCAGCCGCTCGTGCCCGTCTCGGGCGCGTCGCCCATCGCGGTGCCGCTGGTGCCCGTCTCGACCACGGCTCCAGCGCCCGCCGCGGCAGCCGACGCCACTGCGGGGGTCCCGCCCGCGCAGGGCTGCTTCGCGGCGAGCTCGGTGCTCGGGGAGGGGAGCGCCAGCCGGGCACATCGTGCACAACCTCCCTGCTCCTCTTCCTCCTCCTCCGCCTCCTACTCCTACTCCTGCCTCCCTCCTCCTCCCTCCACCTCCCAGCTTCCTGCTTCTCTTTTCGCCCCGCCCCTCCCTCCCTCCCTCCCTCCGCCTCCTCCGCCTCCTCTTCCTCCTCGTGCTACTTCCCTCTCCCTCGTCCGTTTGCCTCCTCTACTCCTACTCCTGCGAGCTGGGCGTTTCGCCTGAGACTTCTTTACCACTCATGATCCTGAAGCTTCGGGCTTTCAACAGTTTCACGGATGGAGGGCGGGCCGCTTTCAAACTATGGGTCTCGCTTTAGCGCCGCGAACACTAGTCTTGACAGATCGCAAGATTTTCACAGGTTGTCGGCGGCTCGTTTTCAAAATGTGGTTTTCGCCTCAGCGCCCGGCACACTCGTTTTACAACTTAGCGAGAGTTTTACGGATTGAGGGCGGGTCGTTTTCAACATGTGGTTCTCGTCTTAGTGCCACGCACATCCGTTTTTTGAGGGCGGGCCGTTTTCAGAACGTGGTTCTTGCTGCAGCGCCGCGCACATTCCTTTTAAACATTCGGGAGACTTTCACGGAATGACGGCGGCTCCTTTTCAACATGTGGCTCCCTTTTTGACGCCGCGCCCAGTCGTTTGCAAGAGTTTGACGGATTTTCATTGTCAGCGTCGCAGGTTTTGCTTAACGATTTTGGATTGCCAGGGCGCAGCAACGTTGATTCGCGGTGTTGAAGTCCCAAGAACGGTGTTCTGGTACGATTTTAGTACCGCCAACACGCAACAGTCAATTGATTCGTGACCTTGGAGACCCGAGAATGGGTACTTGCACGCTTCAGGATCTTAGAGCGGTTGTCTCCCAAAAGGGGAACTTTTCTCAGTGGAAATGAATCCTTGTAGGGGCCTGTGCTGAGGAGGCTTGGAAGGAAGGCCCATTCCGACATCGTTGATGAATATTGGGTTTGCACTGGTCCTCCTCCTCCTCCTCTTCCTCCTCCTCCTCCTCCTCCTCCTCCTCCTCCTCCTTCTCCTCCTCCTCCTCCTCCTCCTCATCCTCCCCCTCATCCTCCAAGGGCCGACGCCGTTCCATCCTGATTAAGGGGGAGAGCGCAAGGGACGCCCGGGGCGCCACCTATGAGTTCTTGGAACTCGACGAGCACCCTTGCGTTACCGAATTTTCCAGGGAACGGCAGGGGGACAGTGGCGTAGGAAGTTGGTCCGCAGAGACGGCCAGAAATCTGCCTTCCTGCCGTTGCAGGCGCGGCAACAAAGCCAGTAATGGAATCCTGTGGGGACCGGTTCGGCCTTGGATGGCCATCCCTGTGGAATGGGAGGGGTTGGCATCAACCACCTCGAGCCCACAGCTTGCACGCACATGCAGGGCATCTCAGGAAACTGGTCCGCGTAGGTGGCCGAAGCTCGGCCATCCTGCCGTCCGGGGCGGGGCAAATTCAGGGCCAGCCCTGTAGATGGCCAATACTGGTTGCTACACTTCTTGGTAAGCTAGCTTAGGCTTCAATGGTCAGCCCTGTCGTTGGACAGGAGTTGGCATCCACAACCTCGAGCCCACAGCTTGGATTGCCAGCCCTGTCTCCGGGCAGGCTTTGGCATCCTGCCCTCGCAACGAGAGCCCAGCTGAAAGACCAGCTTGACCGAAGCTCGGCCCCCCTGCCTCGGCGGGCGTGTCAACTGCACGCCATGTTTGGCATCCCGCGGGGGCCAGATTGGTTTGGATGGCCATCCCTTGCTATCGATGGACAGGCGTTGCCATCAAAGGTCGAGCCCATCAGCGGGGATGCAAGTTTACCTTATGTCAGGCTTGGCACCCGACCCTCGCAGCAAGGGCACAGCTGGGCATTCGAGGAACCTGGTCCGCCTATATGGCCCAAAATCGACCATCCTGCCGCTGCGGGCGCGGCAACTTGATACCAGTCGTAGTACCCAGTGGATGCCAACTCTGGCTTGCACGGCTAACCCTGTCAGTACTGGTGCCCTGTGCGGGGCCAGTCCGGGCTTGGATGACCACCCCTGTCGAGTGCCAGGCCTTGGCATCCACATTCTCGGGCCTAGAGCTAGGATGCCCGCCCCAGCCTCCAAGGGAGCCTTCGGCAGCCCGCCCTCACAACGAGGGCGTAACTAGGCATCCGAGGAACCTGGTTCGCATGGATGGCCGAAGTTCGGACATCCTGCCGCTGCGGGCGCGGCAACTGCATGCCACTACTGGTATCCCGTGGGAGCCAGATTTGGCTTGGATGGCCACCCCTGTCGATTGGCAGGCGTTGGCATCCAAAGGCGGCGCTCCGCAGGGGGCAGGAGGACGGGGCTTGGCTTCTCAGCAGGCAGGGTGCTTCTCAGGGTGTTTCTCTTTCGTCCTCCTGGGAGGTGGAGGCCAGTCCTGGTATCCTGGTGGAACCAGCTTTGGCTTGGATGGCCAGCCCCGTCGGTCAACGGACGTTGGCATCCACAACCTCGAGCCGAGAGTTTGGAAGCCAGCCCACCCGAGGAACCTGGTCCGCATAGATGACCAAAGCTCGGACATCCTGTCGTTGCGGGCGCGGCAACTGCACGCCGCTGCTGGCATTCCGTGGGGGGCAGATTTGGCTTGGATGGCCACCCCCGTCGATGGACAGGCGTTGGCATCCAAAGGCGGCGCTCCGAAGGGGGCAGGAGGACGGGTTTTGGCTTCTCCGCAGGCAGGGTGCTTCTCAGAAGCCCCGGGAGGACTTCTCTTTCGTCCTCCTGGGGGGTCTGTGAATCACGTTTCTTACTAGATAGCCTTGCCCAGTTCCTCCCTGGCCCCTTCGGCGCGCCGCCAACAGCTCGTAGCCCACAACCAGGTTGCCTAAACTTGTCCTTTGGTAGTCCTGACATCCAAACCCTTGCAACGAGGGCACAGCTGGGCATTCGAGCAAAATGATCCGCGTAGATGGCCGGAGCTCGGCCATCCTGCCGTTGCGGGCGCGGCAGCTCTCTACCAGTCCTGGTATCCTGTGGGAACCAGCTTCGGCTTGGATGGCCAGCCCTGTCGTTTTGACGGACGTTGGCATCCACAACCTCGAGCCTAGAGTTTGGAAGCCCGCCCCTGTCTCCAGGGGGCCCTGCGGCGTCCTGCCCTCGCAACGAGGGCAAAACTAGGCACCAGAGAACCTGGTCCGCGTAGATGGCCAGAGCTCGGCCATCCTTCCGTTGCGGGCGTGGCAGCTGCATGCTGCTACTGGTATCCCGTGGGAGCCAGGTTTGGTTTGGATGGCCACCCCTGTCGATGGACAGGCGTTGGCATCCAAAGGCGGCGCTCCGAAGGGGGCAGGAGGACGGGGCTTGGCTTCTCAGCGGGCAGGGTGCCTCTCAGAAGCCCTGGGAGGACTTCTCTTTCGTCCTCCTGGGGGGTTTGTGAATCACGTTTCTTACTAGATAGCCTTGCCCAGTTCCCCCCCTTGGCCCCTTCGGCGCGCCGCCAACAGCTCGTAGCCCACAACCAGGTTGCCTAAAGCTGTTCTTTGGCAGTCCTGACATCCAAACCCTCGCAACGAGGGCACAGCTGGGCATTCGAGCAAAATGATCCGCGTAGATGGCCAGAGCTCGGCCATCCTGCCGATGCGGGCGCGGCAGCTCTCTACCAGTCCTGGTATCCTGTGGGAACCAGCTTTGGCTTGGATGGCCAGCCCTGTCTGTCGACGGGCGTGGGCATCCACAACCTCGAGCCTACAGCTGGGAAGCCCGCCCCTGTCTCCAGGGGACCCTGCGGCATCCTGCCCTCGCAACGAGGGCAAAACGCGGCACCCGAGGAACCTGGTCCGCATAGATAGCCGAAGCTCGGCCATCCTGCCGTTGCGGGCGCGGCAATGTCCCCTCACGTCGAGTGGTATGGGGTTAAGGCGCCCCTTAGGCCATCTTCTGTCAAGTCCTCCTCCTCATCCTCCTCCTCACCATCCTCATCCTCATCCTCATGCTCCCTTCTCGCACAATGTTTTCCCTCCTCCTGCCCTCGCTCGACATTCGACGACTGCCTCCCTCGTTCGGGCTCCCGCCTCCCTTCGTCTCTATCCTCACTCCCTTGTTTTCTTCCCATTCCTCCCCTTTCTCGAGGAGTTGTTGGTGGGGAAGATGGGGATGGAGGAGGAGAGAGAAGGACAGGAGAAGGACTGGAGGAGGAGGGAGGAGGACAGGACGAGGAGGAGAAGGAGGAGGAGGAGGAGGAGGAGGGGGAGAGGATGAAAGAAATGAGGGGGGATGCAGGAGGAGTGCACGCAGAGGTGGAGGAGGTGGAGGAGGAGGAGGAGGAGGAGGAGGAGGAGGAGGAGCAGCAGCAGCAGCAGCAGAAGGAGCATAGGCGGAGGGTCAGGCAGCCCGTCCCCGCGAGGCTTGGCCGGGAACCGGCGCAACCGCCCCCAGGTGCGGAACACCGACACCCCCCAGGAGCAAGGAGTCGTTGGGCCGAGGCTCGCACAGCAGTCGCCTCCCTGTGGGGGAGACGTTGCATCTTCGGTGGGCCTCGCAATGCGGCGGTGATGGGGCGGTGGCGCGCCAGCGAAGCCGGCAAAGGCGTTCAAGTTTGAGCTCTGCGACGTGGAGGCACCGAGGGGCCCGGTGACTCAATTGGGCCGGACGGAGTGCAATCATGAACGAGCGGGGTTGCGATCGGTGCAAAGTTGAACGATCGACGCGGTGTCAAGAAACCTCTGCGCGCGCCGACGCCGCACGAGCCTGCCGTACAGCGGGGGCCCATGCCAGGAAACACCCTGCTTGCCTCCAGGGTGCCCTGGTCTTCCTTGGGTTCCGGTGGCTCTGCGATGGACAGCGTGACGCTCCCACACCAACACATCAATGGACGTCCGTGGGTCTCGGGGTTGGGCTTCCTGTGGTCGGGCCTCTCCACTGTCAGTCCGCTCGGCCCAGGAGCGTGCGGCCTCGCCCTCGGAGGCCTCGCGCCGATGCCGTGGGCGGGCTGCGCGCCCCGTGTGCTCCGCGCGGCGCCGAGGCGCGGCGCTGGCTAGCCAGGTCGCTGCACGGCCTCCCAGATCGGCGACATGCCTCTCGCACTCCGCCTGCCCGGGTGCCTCCTCCGAGCGCCCGGCTTGCTGCCAACACAGCAGCGCGCTCTCCAACTCCGCCTGCCCGGCTGCCCCCGCCGGGCGCCCGACACTGCGCTCTCCAACTTCGCCTGCCCCGTTGCCCCCCTCCGAGCGCCCGACGCGGTGCCAGCACAGCAGCGGTCTCTCCAACTCCGTCTGCCCAGTTGCCCCCGCCAGACGCCTGGCATGGTGCCAGCACGGCAGCGCTCTCCAACTCCGTCCGCCCAGTTGCCTCCGCCAGACGCCTGGCATGGTGCCAGCACGGCAGCGCAGCTGCCGGCAAGGTCAAGCTGAGACCCGCTCCAGTTCGGCGCCCTGCCGCAGGACGTGTGGTCCCAGACATCCGGCCGCTCCAACTCTTTCGGTGCGTGGGCCCCGGAGGCCTGGACCACTTCGCCAGGGCCGGTTTTTCGTCCCGAGTGGCTTCTTGCGGTCCCGAGGCAGGGCGAGGGCCCCCGGAGGCCGAGAACGCCCAGAGCACCCACCGCTCCGAATTTTTTGGAGCGTCGGACCTCTGGTGCCGCCCCGCCCAGCGGCCCCCTGGCACGCAGCGTAGCTCGCCCCCTTCGGGGCTCCAGACGGAGCGCTCGAGGAGGAGGAGGAGGAGGAGGAGGCGGAGGAGGAGGAGGCTCGAGGAGGAGGAGGAGGAGGAGGAGGAGGAGGAGGAGGAGGAGGAGGAGGACGAGGCTCGAGGAGGAGGAGGAGGAGGAGGAGGAGGAGGAGGAGGAGGAGGAGGAGAAGCAGGAGCAGGAGGAGGAGGAGGAGCAGGAGGAGCAGGAGGAGCAGGAGAAGAAGCGGGGGTTTCCTCCTTTCTCCTGTTCCACTCTCCCTCACCCTGCCGATGTAGGTCCTTGCCCTGCTCCTCCGTCTGCTGCTGCTGCTGCTGCTGCTGCTGCTGCTGCTGCTGCTGCTGCTGCTGCTGCTGCTGCTGCTGCTGCTCCTCCTCATCCTCTTTCTCGTGCGCATTCTCCTCAAGAGTACGCCGATTATCCACCTGCACCGGCCTGGGCCAGGCTACACTGATCCCTGGCTGATGTTTAGCCCGTGGTCGGTGGATAGGCCTTCCCAGCCTGGCCAGGTTGGCGTGCGCACGCAGTCATGGGCCCAGCCAGGGTGGATTTACTCGGACGGGGCTAGGACGATAATGAGTCCGTTCCAGAGCGTTCCAGAACGGTCTCAGAGCGTTCCGGAACGCTCTGAGAAGGCCGCGGCGCCCGAGACATCCTCCAGAGCCGCCGGACCTGAGAGATTCTCGGTTTGTCCTCGCCCGTGTCTTGGCTCCGACTTAGTGGATGTTTGGGTGCACCCCATCAGGCGTGGGAGCCGATCGACATGTACCTGCCCAGCAAGGAGGCCAGCGAGGAGGAATGCCAGCGCCGCTGCGCCACCACGGCGGGCTGCGCGCACTTCTCGTTCTACGTGCCGCTGGGGCACTGCCACATCCAGGACCCTGGACGCCCGAAGTAGGTACGGGAAAACGCCCAGAGATCCGACTTGCCAAAGCTCCCGGAGCGGCGGGTGTTTTGGGGCGTTCTCGGCCTCCGGGGGGGCCCTCGCCCGGCCTCGGGACCGTAAGAAACGACCCAGGACGGAAAACCGGCCCCGGCGAGGTGGTCCAGGCCTCCGGGGCCCGCGCACCGAAAGAGTTGCAGCGGCCGGATGTCTGGGTGGACGCCAGAAATTGGTGCTTTCGACAGTGCGGAAAATATGGGCACGATGCCCAACAACACATCGTTGTCCGACACCGACACAGGCCGCTGTTGGGCAGGTGGCCTTCTGTCTCCCATGGGCAGCACCCGCGGCGACACAGACAGCGAGCCAGGTCCAAAATGGACAAGAACTGCTGTCGGCCTTCATCCCCACATCCTTTCCGTACCCATTCCGGTCGCACCGAAGGACAACCTCGCCCTCTATGCGCCTCGGAGGCCGGGCTGGGTCAGCGGGCCCTTCCGGTGCTGGAACGGCACCTCCCACGACCTCCTCGAGTTCGCCGGTGAGCCCCCGGAGGTGGACCGCGGCCGCGCGAGAAACTTCGCGTGCCTCGAGGTCGGCACGGTGCTGCCGCTGGCCACCATCACTTCCACGCGCTATCCTTCGGGGGCAAGTCGTGAGAGCCTTGTATGCTTCGTAGCTCCGTCTTCAGAGCGCATTCGCGTGCGACTGCGCCTGGCACAGTCGATGAGAGCGCGCCGACGCAGCGTCGACTCGGCGTCGACTTGGCGTCGACCCGCAAGAGCCGGCAAGCTGGCATGGGCACGGGAGGCTCCCACGAGTTGCCGCCGAGGCATCCGCGCGCGATGCCGCGGCGCGACGCCGTGGCCTCCTGCCAGGGCTGGTGCGGCAGCACGGCCGGCTGCGCGGGCTTCACCATGCAGCTCGCGACGCACGCGTGCTCGCTGCACGCGAGCACGGGGCGCCCCGTGCGCTCCATCATGGGAGCGGTGTCCGGTATCGTTGAACCGACCCCGATCCCCATCCCCATTCCTATCCAAACAGGAGGGAGGAGGAGGAGGAGGAGGAGGAGGAGGAGGAGGAGGAGAGGAGGAGATGAGGAGGAGGAGAGGACGAGGACGACGACGAGACGAGGACGAGGACGAGGACGAGGCTCGAGGAGGAGGAGAGGAGGGAGGAGGGAGGAGGAGGAGGAGGAGGAGGAGGAGGAGGCTCGAGGAGGGGAGGAGGAGGAGGAGGGAGGAGGGAGGAGAGGAGGAGAGGGAGGAGGAGGAGGATGAGGAGGAGGAGGAGGAGGAGGAGGAGGAGGACCACCACCATCTCAGCGCCCCAGTTGGGGATGTGCCCTTCGAAACCCAAGGACACGCCCTACATCCCCATCTTGGGGGGTCAATCGGCCAGTGGGGCCCAGGCCACGCCCATGGGATGGGGGTCGGATAATCGATGCTCAGGTGTCCGGACCCCCGTCGTGCCCAGGCCGTGCCGAGGAGGCCGGGCCGCGGCACGGGGATGCCACGGCGGCTCTGCCCGTGGGGGCAGCCAGCGCCGACGACGTCGTCATTCGGGCCGAGGCCCAGACGTTGGGGGCTGCTAGACCCAGACCTTCCTGGAGTCAGGGCTAAAAAATAGCACCAGGACCTCGAAATCTAAAGACCAGTCGAGTTTTTGAGCGGTCTTGACAGGTCTATAGGTCTGGAAGGCTATTTTTAAGCTTTCTGGAAGGAGATCAGGGAAAGTGCCCCTGGCCCAAGGTGCCCCCGGCTTGCCGCCCCCTTTTGGAGCTCCTGGGGCCCTCTGGGCCTTGCGAGGGGTGCTCTGGAGGCCGTGGGGGCCTCCTTTGTGTCAGTCCTGGGGGCACCTCGGGCCAGGGGCACTTCTGGCAACACCCGACCAGGGGAGGAACTGTCTGCCGGTCCCCGCCTATACCGCTACTGCCGTGCCCTCGCCGCCACAGCTGGGTCCACCACGGACTCCTGGCCGCAGCGTGCCCCGGGAGAGGCTGGGGATGAGGGGCTTCGGCAGCTTGCCTGTTCCCCCAGAGGCGGTGTCGCCGGATGCCGCGCTGGCGCTTCGCGCCGCAGGAGGCCCGCCGGCAGAGCGCTTCGCGGCCGTCCTGCCTCGCGCGGTCCCGGTGGTCTGCGCGCTGGTGGTCGCGGCTGCAGCGTACAGGAGCACTCTCTGCAGCATGCGAGGTCTGCGAGCAAGGAGGTCGGCAAGAGAGGCCGAGAGTGTTGAAGACCTCGTCGTCACGGCGCACCTGATTAACGACGGGATCGCCAGGGAGTGAGTGGCATCATAATTCGTGTGCGAACTTTTTCTTGCGCACTCATAACGCAATTGTCGTCCCAACGTGGCGCATGCATCCGCATGTGTATCCAGAGCTCGTGGGCGATCTCGTTCGAGGTTGCTTCCACTGAGTGGTTAACGACTATCCTGTCGCAGCGGTGCACGGACGGCATGTGAAATTCTGGAATGTTTTTTGTTCGGAGCCCGAGACGGATGTGTTGACTAGCAGTTGGGGTGAAGGACTCCGAGGTGGCTGTTACGGCAAGGCCCCGAATTCGTCAGACACTGGATTCGGAATCGTTCAGAAGTGACGTTCGTGCAGAAAGGGAAGGCGTCCATCATCGACAACAAATATGTCCAACATGTCTACGTCGTGGCCCTTGGTTTCCAGGTTGAGGGTGGCGATCTGTTTGAGGTCGTCCTCTCGACGACGCTCGCGCGAACCAACTTGGGCTCATTCTCGGACTAACTTTGTGGGTCTGTCTGGGCTTGGGGGCCGCCTGGCAGCAATACCAGGGCTTGTTGAGGGGATCTTTTATCGGCGGCGAGCCCGGGTGTGCAGTCATGAAGTCAGAGGGGCGGGCCTTCTCAGAAGGTTCGGAAGGCCTCCAGCCTTCTGAGAAGTACGCCTAGCCTTCTCTGAGGACAGAGACTGCTGCTCGGCAGGCCCGAGGGCTTCTGAGAAGCCCCGCTGCCATTTGAGATGCTGTTGTTGATGATCTTGCTGATGACGATGACGATGACGATGACGATGACGATGACGATGACGATGATGATGATGATGATGATGATGATGATGATGATGGTGGTGGTGATGATGATGATGACAATGACCATCATCATCCATCATCATCATCATCCATCATCATCATCCATCATCATCATCATCATCATCATCATCATCATCATCATCATCATCATCATCGCCATCAGCGTCATAATCACCAGCAACATCATCATCATCATCATCACCACCATCATCATCATCATCACCACCATCATCAGCCCTGCCCCCTCTCACTTCCCTCCCCGGCGCGCCATCGCTCCAAGCCCTGCGTGGGCCTCACGGGGCCACCCTGCGGCGCCGTCGGGGCCACGGCTCCCGAGGGTCTTCTGACGCCGACGGGGCGAGAGCCATAGGGGGCAAGGATTTGGACGCCCGACATGGGCACGGAAAGAGTGGGTACAATGCCCAAGAGCAGTTTCAGTTCATTTTGAACAGGACTCGCTGTCCACGCCGCCGCGGCCTGTGTCCATTCGAGACAGAAGGCCGCCAGCCCAACAGCGGCCGCTGTTGGATTGGGACAACATTTGTTGTTGGGCATCGTACCCATTCTTTCCGTGCCCATCTCGGGCGTCCAAAAAGGAGGCGGAGGAGGACAGTTGGCAGATACACCTCGCTCATCAGCCTGGGAGGGGGGTCTGCGTTGCGCATCTGATTCAACTGCCAGCTGGTCAGGTTGATTTCGGCACTCCTTTCGCCAAGCACAGTCGAGCATCTGATTCAGGAACCTCCTCCCGAAAAGCTGGGCCAGCGTTTCCAAACACGGAATGCTGGCCCAATGTCGTACGCACACTCGTCGTTCTGGCGTGAACAAGTAAGCTGGCCCAGGTGTGTTTGAGGACATTTCGGATATCTGGCCCCGGTGTCTTACACGATAATTCTCTCCATCGTAGTTTCGGCCGAGGGCGCCAAGTAGTGCTGGCACGGGCGCCGAGTGGTGCTGGCACGGGCGCCAAGTCGGACGAGGGAGGGGGGGAGGAGGAAGGAGGTCCGCGTTTGCGGTACTTCCGCGCCTCGCTGGCGCCACGGCGACCCCAGCGCGGGCTTTCAAGCTGGGACGCCGCCCGAGGCCTGGAGTCGGCGGGTATCGAATGACCCGCGCTATCGGACACGGCCGCGGTCGTTCGGGACTGAGCGACCCCGCGCCGTGAGCCTGCCGCGATACTTGCACTACAGCTCTATTCCCCTACCGGGCCCGACGAGAAAGAGGGAGGAGGCGGAGGAGGAGGAGGAGGAGGAGGAGGAGGAGGAAGAGGCGGAGGCAGTGGAGGAGAAGGAGGAGGAGGAGGAGGAGGAGGAGGAGGGAGGAGGATAGGAGGACTAGGAGGAGGAGGATGAGGACTAGGAGGAGGACTAGGAGGACTAGGAATAGGAGGACTAGGAGAGAAGGATGAGAGGAAGACTAGGAGGAGACTAGGAGGTAGGAGGAGGATAGGAGGAGGAGGAGGAGGAGGAGGAGGATGAGAAGGAGGAGGAGGACTGGAAGGAGGAGGATGAGGAGGAGGAGGAGGAAGACTAGGAGGAGGAAGAGGAGGAGAAGGAGAAGAAGGAGGAGGAGGAGGAAGACGAGGAAGAGGGGAAGGAGGACCATGAGGTTCAAGAGGAGGAGAAGGAGGAGGAGGAAGACGAGGAGGAGCAGGACTAGGAGCAGCAGGAGGACTAGGAGGAGCAGGAGGAGGAAGAGGAGGAAGGATGCTGATGATGATGAGGAGGAGGAGGAAGAGGACGAGGGGGACGAAGGTGAGGAGGATGAGGATGAGGAGGAGCAGGACCAGTGTAAACCCAAGAGTCACCAACGATGTTGGAATCCACCCTCCCTCCAAGCTCCGTTTTTATAGGCCCCTACAGTGGTTCGTTTCCACTGAGGGAACTGCCTCGTTGGAAGACAACCGTTCGAAGACCCTGAAGCATGCCAAGACATTGCTCTCGGGATTCCAACGCCACGGATCACCCTGACTGTTGCGCTTTGGCGATCCTGAATATTGCCAGAGCGCCATTCTCGGGACTTCAGCACCGCGAATGAACGTAATGTTTGCGCCCTCATAATCCTGAATCTTTCATCCTTCCAAAACTCCATGTCTGGTACATTGGTCATGGGAACCCGCGAAACTCTTGCAACTGTTATTAACGAATGTGCGCGTCGCTAAGACGGGAGCCACATGTTTGAAAAGGAGCCGCCCTCCATTTGTGAAGCTGCTGCCGATGTTGAAGTTTCAGGGTCAGAAGTGGTGAGAAAGTCTCAGCCGAAACGCCCCCCTCCCAGCCCGAAAAACTGGCTTCGGGGTGCGACAGGGAGAAGTTGTTTATAGGAGGAGGGGGGGGAGGAGGAGGAGGAGGAGGAGCAGGAGGAGCAGGAGGAGGGGGGGGAGGAGGAGGAGGGGGAGGGGGGGGGAGGAGAAGGAGGAGGAGGGGGAGGAGGAGGAGGAGCGGAGGAGAGGGAGGGGGAGGAGGGGGAGGAGGAGGAGAGGAGGAGAGGGGAGGAGGAGGAGGAGGAGGAAGGAAATGAAATGGAACGAGGGGGGACACGAAGAGTACTTCGTGCGGCCGGCTTCGGCGCCGCCGCCGGGCACGTTCCCCCAGGCGGCGCGGCCGCCTCGTGCGACGGGGTGGCGCCGGAAAAACTGGTGGCATGCAGCCGATCCGTTGCCCCCTCGGGGGCGACGAGGAGGGCGCACAGCCCAGGGGGCGACGAGAAGGGCGCACAGCCCAGGGGGCGCACAGCCCAGGGGCGCACAGCCCAGGGTGCCTCCGTCGGAAGTACCGAGAGAGGCACCCAGGGTCAAGCAGTGGCGAAGCGTTCTGGCGTGCCTATAGCCCTACCGAACAATGTTCTAAGAACCTTTTGTGGTTTCCATCAAATGTTCTTAGACCATTTCTGGCTGTGACTGTCCTGTTGTCACACATCGGGAAGACGTTCTAAGATCATTGTTCTTGTTCTTAAAACATTTCTGGGCTCTAGGAACATTTCGTGGTAGGACTATAGGAATTCCGGGACTGTCGGTCCTTGCTCAACAGGGGGCGACGGGGGGGCGACTAGCCCAGGGGGTGCAAACAGTGGCATACACCCCCTCGGAGGCGACGAGAGGGGCGAATAGCCCAGGGGAGAGCAACGCATTGTCACGGCAGTCGTTGAAAGAGTAGGCATTTTCGGGGCTCCCAGGTCCCAATTTGCTTCGAGTGCCTGGTTTGCCGTGCTTGTTACTCTCTCTGTGCGGGCCCTGTGTTCTGGAGAGGGCCTCGCACTGGAGGGTCGAAGGAATTGGCATCTCTCTTTCGGCAGAAGTCGGCAGAAGGGCGACGGAAGCAAGATGAGGCGGCCTCCGCTGGCGGAAGCTGGCGGAAGGCCGGCGGAAGCCGCGGGAGTAAAAAGTTGCCATCGAAGAGACGACAGCACTGTTGGGTCCAGGGTTCCCAGAGCCTTCTGATGTTCCAACCTACTTTAGCCTTGAACACCTGAAAGAATTTCGAGCACCAAGAAAGTACCGAAACTTGAGGGTTTTTCACATGCCGGGCCCTGGGAGGCGATATTCGTTCGACACTGTTTCGATACACTTTCTGAGTGCTCGAATTTTTTTCTGGGATGTGGTCCTGAAGTACGACGGGAGCAACCTTAGCCAGAGCCCGCCAGGTGTTCCGGGGCGCCGACGATCCATGTGTTCGGCGAGGCTCCCAGACGGGTACGTGTAACGCCCGAGGCTCTGGGCTCTGCGAATTTCTCATCGTCTCCGACCCCCCCTTCGCTTCCCCCCCCCCCGAGACATCCAGCGATTGTTTTTTTCTGCAATCCGCGGCCTGTTTTTGATGTCCCTGGGGCCCGAGCCCCAGAAGGTCGAAGTGGAGGAGAGAACGCCGCGATTGGAGCACGGTGTGCTCATGCGGCGTTGGCGGGCTGGCGACGCCGGCGAAGGCGTTCAAGGTCGAAGTCTTTGGCGCGGAAGCACCGAGGGACGTGGTAACGCCACTGAAACGGACGGGATTCAACCTCGAACGATCGGGGCCGCGAACAATTCAAGGTCGAACGATCGACGCGGTGTCAAAAATCTTTTCGCGCGCCTCCGTAGCCATTTTGGCTCAAGTCGAGCTTGCTCGAGCCATCATGGCGCGGTTCCTTCTGAGACCAGACTCCGGTCGCTGTGCATCGTAGGAGGAGGTGGAGAAGGAGGGGGGAGGCGGAGGAGGACTGGGCGCGATGTCGCTGGCCCTGTTGGCGTCACTAGCGTCGCTGGCCGCCTCCGTGGCGGCCACGCGGGTGCCGGCCGTGATCGGCACCAGCGTGTCCCAGGCCGCTCTGACGCTCACGGAGACAGAGATGTTCTCGCACACCGTGTCCGAGGAGGGCGAGTGGGCTTACATGAACCACTTCTGGGCGGCTGGCAGCCCCGCGGTGGACCGCGCCATCTTCCGGTACTACGTGGACGGGGAGGTCAACGCCTCCGTCGTCTTCTCCCCCGCGCTGGCGTGCGGCGTGGGTTGGGGCGACCAGACGGCGCCCTGGGGCAACAGGTGGATGGGCAAGGCCGCAAACTCGACAGGCTGGTTCCACAACATCCCCGTGCCGTTCTACAAGTCCATCCGCATCACCTACCAGATGGCCCTGGAGGACGCTGGCGTGGCAAAGGCCCCGGGCGCCGGTCCGCGCGGCGGCGCAGTGGAGCAGGTGGGCTCCAGAGTGTGGGCGATCGTGCGCGGCTCGGAGGGCCTGCCGCTGCACCTGGGCGAGCTGGAGGTCCCGCTCCGCGCGGGGGGCGTCCGCCTGGAGCTGCAGCGCCGCTCCGCGCAGCTCGCGCCGCTGGACTTCTACAGCGTGGCGAGCGCCCCCGCCGGGCAGTCGGGCACGGTGTTCCTGACGTCCCTGTTCGTCCGGGGCACGGGCAGCGTGAAGTTCATGGAGGGCTGCTGGCGCATGCGCAGCCCGCCGGCGCAGGCCTGGCCGGGCACGCTGCTGGCCAGCGGCATGGAGGACTACTACGACTCCGCCTTCTACTTCGACGGCGGCGGCTTCCACCTGCCAGACACCGGCGCGACGCACCTGCCCGGGCCGACGGGCAGCAGGGACTTCACCTTCTCGGGCTACCGCTTCCACGAGGTGGACCCGCTCGTGTTCAGGGACGGCATCGACGTGCAGTGGCGCAACGGCGACGTCACCGACCCCGCCACGGGCCTCAAGTGCACGCTGCAGTCTGGCGGGGTCGTCGCCGGCCCGCCCGACCTGGTCCTCGGCCCCTCCGCGGTCTCCTCCTACGCCTGGGTGTACACGTGGCCGCCCGGCGGCGCCTTCCTCCGGAGGCCCTCGACGGTCGACCCCTTCCTCAGGGCGCGCCGCGGTTCGTGACGACGGGAGTTTCTGAGATCTTGCCGAAAAGTCATGAAATACAAAAACCCCAAAAAGTAGAAAAGCAACACAATAATAGAATTAGCCTGACGAAAGACCCAACCATACGTAGTTGTGAATACCGCAATTGTGGATATATTCTTCGGTGGCGCCCCCGGGCCACGAAACGAGTGAGGGGTGTGCCGAAATGGGGGGGTGGAACCGCATGCGAGCGCAGCCACTGGGGCGCTCGGTGGAGCTCCCTATGGGGCCACGAAGCGTGTGAGGGGTGTGCCAGAAGGGAGGGGGAGGAGGGAGGAGGAAGGAGAGGAGGAGGAAGGAGGAAGGAGGAAGGAGGAAGGAACGCGGGGACCGACTCTTCAAAACGAGGACCCAACAACACAGGTTGGTTGGGAAAAACAGAACAAAAAACATAAACAATAAATAACCTGTGCGCGCACCGACGCCGCCCGTCGAATTCGGCGGCGCGCCCAGGGGGGAAGGCAGAGGGGGTGGGCCCTCTCAGGGGGCTCAGAGGGCCTCCGCCGGCCTGCCCAGAAGGGCCTCTCAGAAGCCACATGGGGGCTTTTGAGGGTTCTTATTCTTCTGAAGCGTCGTGGGAGGAACAAACATATATACACATATTCATGTTGGATAGAAATGAGTATGTATGTGTATAATATATATATAGGAATGTATACATGATGTACAGATGTATCTGTACACCGGTGTGTATATACACGTACATGGGTGTGCGTGTATACATATACATATATATACAGATATAGAGCCACAGAGGGCTTCCCAGCAGGCTAAACGACTTCTGAGAAGCTCCGCCGCCTTCTGCGACTACACCGCGTCGTGACCACACCGCGTGGTGAGTCGGTAGTGTTCGGACGTTTTCGGGAGTTTCGGGCACGTTCTGACAGTTTCCGAATCCTTGCGTGGTTTCCACCATTTGCGCGTCGCCGAGGGCGTTCCAGGGGGTGCCAGAATCGTCCCAAACGGCCGCAGGAAAGCCGAGCCAGGGGACGCAGGAAAGCCGCAGAAGGCTGGAGGACTTCTGGTATTCAGTAGTGCAGAAGTGCCCTGGCTTGCCTATGGCCGCACGAGAGAATGTTCTACGAACATTTTGTGGTTTGCTTGGCATGGTCTAAGAACGTGACTGGCTGAGGCCGTCTTGTTTTGACACGCCGGCTGTATGTTTAACGAACATTGTTTGCGATATCGGAGGACTCTCAAAACATTATTTCTCTCAGCGTTATGTCGTGGTAGGCCTATAGGAATGTCAGGTCGATCGGCCCCCTGCTCAAGAGAAGCCCCACTGTTTGGGGGGCATGCTTGAAACGTGTTTTGTCATTTCGGTTCCGAAGCCGCCTGTAGGGGGGCACGCCCGACTTGAGGCTTACCCCCTCCCACTTCCCCTGCCGACGGATGCCGGATGGGGCCGCACGCGGACCCGGCAGGACTCGGACCCGGCGGAGCTGGCACCTGGGGTTCCGCTGCCGCGCGGCGCGCGGGCCCAGGTTCGGCCGGGTCCGAGCTCGGCCTGGCAGGGCCGGCCACGCGCAGAGGCAGGGCGCGGAGGGGAGGGCGGACGGCTTCCTGCAAGCACCGTTGCCTCGGGCCTGCTCCGTAGATGCAGGGCCGGCGCCTTCCGAGAAGCCGGCTCCTTCTAAGGAGCCTGCCCCCCTCCCCCTTACCCTCCTGTGCGTGCGCGCCGCCAGGCGGGGTGGACGGATCGCGCCGAACGAAAGGGGGGGGGTAGGGAAAGGGGGGTTACGAAATCTGCTGCATGCAGCTGGTTTCGGCCCCGCCGCCGGGCCCATTCCTCCTCGATACATGAGCGCCTCCCGGCGCCGGGAGGCGCCGCGAAAATCAGCTACGTGAGCTGATTCTCAACCCCCTCCTTTGCCATCCCCCCCTTTCGCCCGGCCCGAATGGACCCGCCCTTCGCCTCCGGGGGGGCCAGCGGCGCTCCCTGATCGAGTCGGCCTGTTTAGTGTGGGTCCCCCCGTCGCCCGCCCCGATCTCAGAGGATGCCGTCGCGAGCCGCCCAGGCCCGCCCAGGCGGGACGCCACGTCTTCTCCTCCTCCTCCTCCTCCTCCTCCTCCTCCTCCTCCTCCTCCTCCTCCTCCCTCCCTCCCTCCCTCCCTCCCTCCCTCCTCCCTCCCTCCCTCCCTCCCTCTCCTCCCTCCCTCCCTCTCCTCCTCCTCCTCCTCCTCCTCTCCTTGTCCTCGCTCCTCCTCCCCCCCCCTGCTGCTCCTCCTCCTCTCTTCCTCCTCTTCCCTCCTCCTCCTCCCTCCTTCTCCTCCTCACTCTCCTCCTCCTCCTCTCCTCTTTCTCCTCTTCCCTCCTCCTCCTCCGCCTCCCCCTCCACCTCTCCCCCCTCCTCCTCCGCTCCTCCTCCTCCTCCTCCTCCTCCTCCTCCTCCTCCCTCCCTCCTCCGGCCTCCTCCTCCTCCTCCTCCTCCTCCTCCCTCCTCCATCCTCCCCTCCTCCTCCTCCCTTTCCGCTTCTCCTCCTCATCTTCCTCTCTCTTTCTCCTCTCCGCCTCCTTTTCCCCATTCTCGTTTACCCCCCCCCGTCCTCTTCTCCTCCTCCTCCTCCTCCTCCTCCTCCTCCTCCTCCTCCTCCTCCTCCTCCTCCGCCTCCTTCTCCGTCTCCTCCTCCCTCTCCTCCTCATCCTCATCCTTGGCCTCCTCGGCTTCCTCCTGCCAGTCCTCCCCCTCGTCCTTCTAGCCCCTTTGGCTATCCACCTGCACGTGCTGGGGCCTACTCTGCCCCCCTCCCCTCTCTCGCGGCAGCGGGCAATGGTGGTGGCGGCTTGCCTGGACTGGGATCTCGCTCAGTTCCGTGGCGGACGGCGAGCAAAAGCGAGGCTTGCGTTTCATCCTGATCGACTGCTCGTTCAGGTAGGTCTCTTCTTCAGCATGTGGTGATGGACTTTGTCCAGAAGAACAATAAGGGTGAAGATTCTGTGTGTATTCGTCTTCGTGCTGCTCCTGGAGATGGTCGCCCCCGTGGCGCTGGGGACCCTCTTGGCCCTGGTGGTGGCCCCCCCCTGGTGGCGCAAATGGGCGTCCTGACCCCGGTGCGGGTGACGGCGGAGATCTCACCAATGAGGCGCTGCTCGTTGTCGCGCCGATTGTTCCAGTGCTAGTGGTCACGGTGGGATCACTCTTGCAGAGAAACCACGGGTGCAGGCGATCAGCGAGGGTGCAGCATCCACTGTCCTCCCTGATGTTCCTGTGTTCCTTGAGTTTTCATGGAATGCGGGTGCACCTTCTGCTTGGTGGCCGTGGCGCTGTCAGAGTTATTATACGAGAGTCTGGTGGTGGTGCTGGTCTTGCTTTCTCGCCCATGGATCTGGAGGGACGGGGCCATAATGATATTATGGATGATCGGATATACGAGCATGTGGGGACGAGGATGATTTGGGCACTTTGGGGCTTGCACCGGCTGGGCGCGACGGCGCCGACGTTCTTGTGCGAGAGATCGGCGCTGACGTAGTTTCGACCGTTCTTTGTGCAGGGAGTGGTCCGGCCGTGGTGGCTTGTCCGACTGATCTGCAGGTGGTCTCTGATCTTCGTGCTGGCCCTCATCATCGTGTGGATCCTGGTCCTTTTTTTCCCCGCTCGCACACGCGAGAACAGCGACGGAGTGGTGACGAACGTCCTCATGCAGGGAACTGGCGGAGTGCATTGTGGTCTGTTCTTCTCAAGGCGCGTGCGGCTGCTGATGCACATAGCAGAGGACACGGTGGTGACGGACTTCTGCGCTACCTTGCGGAGTGGCGCCGCCGGTGCGGGATGAGAGTTTGGAGGGTGATCTTTGTAGCTTGGGTGCGCCAGTTCATGCTATACGTTGTCCCCATGATACTGTCCACGCTGTGGTTACAGGATCTGGGCCTCGTGAAGCGGGTCCTGGTGAAGCTCGTGCGGTGCATGGTGATCTCTACGATGATGATGCGCTTCAGGATGATGGGATGCGGTGAGATACGGGGGATCCTGGTGAGGCCCAGCATCTCTGATCATGCCGAATCCTTGTGAGTTCCTACATGGTGCTGCGATACCATCTCCTTGGTTGTGTCTCCCCTGGGAGTCTTGTGGAGTTTGGGACTGGTTCGAGGCGGCCTTCGTGACGGTCGATCTGCCGACGCATCTGTTCTCCACCGTCGAGGATCACGCTTTGACGTGCGTGCTTGGCGAGCTCTTAACGCAAAAGGCTGTTATCCGTGAGGTGTCTTGCGAGCGCGTGCGCGACTGGTGGATCTGCGCGAGTGTTCGGTGCTAGCGCCACCCTCGTTAAACAAATCCCTCATCGTCCTGTCATGTCGGCTCCTTCTTTTCTGCCTCACCACCTCCCTCTTCTCCTCCTCCTCCTTCCCTTCTTCCTCCTCCCATGTAATCCCCCCCGACCCCTCCTCCACCGCCGCGCCCTCCTTCGCCCCCCCTCCTCTCGAGGCGCTGGGGCTCTGGCGGCATGAAGGATCGTCTAACGTTGCCTTCCTCCTTCTCCTCCTCCTCCCTCCCTCCTCCTCCTCCTCCTCTCCTCCCCCTCCTCCTCTCTTCCCTCTCCTCCTCATTATCCTCCTGCTTCCCCTCCTCCTCCTCCTCTCCTGCCCTCCTCCTGTTTCTGCTCCTCCTCCTCATCCCTCGTTCCTCCTCCTCCTCCTCCTCCCTCCGCCTCCTCTTCTCCCAGCTTTCTCCTTCTCCTCCTCCTCCCTCACTCCTCATCCTCCTCCTCCTTCCTCCTCCTCCTCCCCCTCCTCCTCTCATCCTCCTCCTCTTCTTCTCCTCCTCCTCCTCCTCCTTTTTGTTACTAGTATTTCCCCCTCTTTCCTCTGGCTCATTTCCTTTTCCTCCTTCTCCTAGTCTCCTCCTCCTCCTCATCCTCCTTCTCTTCCTCCTTCTCCTCCTCCTCCCTCCTCTTCCTTCCTCCTTTGAACCTCTCTTCTTCTCCCTATTCCTCTTTTTCTTCATTCTCCTCTTCTTCTTCCTCCTCCTCCTCCCTGCCTTCTCCATCCGTCCTCCTCTCTCATTTCCTCCTCCTCTCCTCCTCCTCCTCCTCCTACTTCTGTCCTCCCTCTCCGCCGCCGCCGACCACCGCCGCCGCCCCGCTCCTTCTCCTCCTTCTCCTCCTCCTTCATCCTTCCTCTCCTCCTCACCATCCTCCTACCCCTCTTCCCTTCCTTTTCCTCCGCCTCCTCCTCTCCTCCTCCTCCTCCTTCACCTCTCCTCCTCCTCCTCCTACTCCTCCTCCTCCGCTCCTCCTGCTCCTTTGGATTCTCTTCCTTCTTCTGGTACTCTGGCTCCTCCCCTTCCCGCGACCCCAAGGGAGGACGCCACGAGCCACCTCGGCCCGAGCGGGGCGGGCCGCTGTGCGCCGCGCCCCCTCCCTACGACCGCCAATGTAGCCGCGCCTCTCCCCCCAGATGCGGCGGGGGCGGCGGGCGCCCGCAGGGCCGCGATGGGGAGGAGGGGTACGAGAGGGGAGGAGGAGGACGAGGAGGAGGACGAGGAGGAGGAGGAGGAGGAGCAGGAGGAGGAGCAGGAGGACGAAGCGGACGAGGAGTACGAGGAGGACGAAGGAGGAGGAGGAGGGAGGAGGAGGATGGAGGAGGGAGAGGAGGAGGAGCAGGATGGAGGAGGGAGGAATGGGGAAGGAGGAGGAGGAGGAGGAGGAGGAGGAGGAGGAGGGACGTGGCGGCGGCGGACGGTGGCATTGGCGCGTGGTCGGACTCAAGTGTCGTGTGGTCGCTTGAGGCCTGCGCCGTCAAGTGACCGACAAGTCAAACAGAGAAGACATGGCAGCCTCCAGGGCGGACATCCGCGGGCGGCCTGGTAACTGATTGTCAAGTGACTAAGCAGCCTTGGGACATGTGAAATGGTGCCGTGAAGCCCTGGACTGGATGAACAGATATGAGCACTGCAAACTGTGGGAAGCCGTGCGCCACACTGCACAACGACACCATGAGACGAATTGCACGGAAGCCTGATCTCTGGGAGGTCGAACGACCGCCCGGAATTCGTCAATAATGCGCCCAGGGCGCATAAACGTTTTTGGTCTGCGGGTCGAGAGCGAGCCTCTTCCGGTTAAGAGCTAGGCGGGCCGCGCAAAGCACCGATTGGGGAGACAGGGCGCGGGCGGGCGGGGCCTCAGGCGGTCGGAGGGCGCGGGGTGCAGGCGGCGCTGAAGAGCTTGCAGAGGAAAAGGTACGCCTTGGACAGGAGCGGGAGGCGAAGTCCCGGAGGGAGAGCGAAGTGGTGTTGCCGTCGACGGCCAGGGCGCATAAACAAACCATGGGCGCATGCCCGAAGGGGGCAGGGAGCGCGGCACCGCACTCGACCTGCCCGCCACGCCTCCCAGAGCCAGGCGGCGAGCGGAGGAGGGGGCCCGGGGATTGCTTGCTGGGGGGGGGCCCAGCAAGGGGGGGAGCCCAGGTCGCCAACCCTCGATAGCCCCCCCTAGGGAGGGCGGCTGCCGATCCTGGGGCCGGCTACCCAGGGGATGTTAGTTCACCCGCGTGCCCCCCCCAGGCCAGGTATCCCTCTCGGGGCGAGGACGCAGGAGGGAGGGGGGAGGAGGGAGGAGGGACCGGGGAAGGAAGGAAAGAGGAGGGAGGAGTGCGGAGGAGGAGGAGGGAGGAAGGAGGAGGGAGGAAGGAGAAGGGAGGAGGGAGGAGGGAGAAGGGTGGAAGGGAGGGAGGGAGGGAGGGAGGGAGGGAGGGAGGGAGGAGGATGAGGAGGAGAAAGAGGAGGAGGAGGACGAGGAGGAGGAGGAGGAGGGATGAGGGATGAGGAGGAGGAGGAGGATCAGGATGAGGATGAGGATGAGCATGAGGATGAGGACGATGATGATGAGGATGAGGATGAGGATGAGGATGAGGATGAGGATGAGGATGCTGATGATGATGCTGATGATGATGATGATGATGATGATGATGATGATGATGATGATGATGATACTGATACTGATACTGATACTGATACTGATACTGATACTGATTCTGATGTTCAGGATGGTGATGATGATGCTGCTGATGATGATAAGGATGATGATGATGATGCTGATGCTGATGCTGATGCTGATGCTGATGATGATGATGATGATGATGTTGATGATGATGATGATGATGATGATGATGATGATGATGATGATGATGATGATGATGATGACGCTGATCATGCGAAGAAGGATGAGAAGGAGCAGAAGGAGGAGGAGGAGAAGGAGGAGGAGGAGGGAGGTGAAGGAGGGCAGGAGGAGGGGGAGGGCGGAGGATGGAGGAGGGAGGAGACCCGCGGGTCTTAGACTATCGGCCGGCACGCCTAACCCCTGTGGCCACTCGTCCCAAATGTGGGTGGATGCTGGGATTGCGGATTTAGCAGGCGGAAGAGGAGGATGGAGAAGGGAGCAGGGGAAGGAGGAGGAGGGAGCAGGTCCTGGGGGGAAGGTCGAAGAGGAGAAGAAGGATGAGAAGGGGGATAATGATGTTAAATGTTGATGGTGATGATGATGATGTTGATGATGCTGATGATGCCGATGATGATGATGACGATGATGATGATGTTGATGATGCTGATGATGATGATCATGATGCTGATGCTGATAATGATGCTGATGCTGATGATGATTATGATGAGGATGATGATGCTGATGATGATGATTATGATGATGACGATGAGGATGATGATGGTGCTGATTACGATGACGAGTATGATGATGATGATGATGATGTTGATGCTTATTATGAGGATGATGATGTTGATAATGATGATGCTAATGGTTATGATGATGGTGCTGCTGATGATGCCGATGCTGCTGCTGATGAAGCTGATGATGTTGTTGCTGCTGATGATAATGCTGATGACGGTGATGATGAGGATGATGATGATCATGCTGATGACAAGTGTGATGACGATGATGAGGATGTTGGTTGTCATGACGATGATGATCATGCTGCTGCTGCTGCCGATGATGATGCTGGAGATGATGATGATGATGATGATGATGATGATGATGATGATGATGATGATGATGATGATGCTGATGATTATATTGATGATGATGATGCTGCTGATGATGATGATGATGATGATGCTGATGATGATGATACTGATACTGATACTGATACTGATACTGGTACTGGTACTGGTGCTGCTGACGCTGCTGATGATGCCGATGATGATGCTGATACTGATGGTGATGATGATGGTGGTGATGCTGATGCCGATGATGATGATGATGATGATGATGATGATGATGCTGATGATTATATTGATGCTGATGATGATGATGATGATGATGATGATGATGATGATGATGATGATGATGATGATGATATTGATGATGATATCGATGATATCGATGATGACGATGGTAATGCTGATGATGATGATGATGATGATGACGATGATGCTGGTGATGATGCTGATGATGCTGATGCTGATGCTGATGGAGGTGATCATGATGATGGTGGTGATGCTGATGATGCTGATGATGCTGATGATGATGATGATGCTGATGCTGATGATGATGATGATGATGATGATGATGATGCTGATGATGATGATGAGATGATGATGATGATGATTGATGATGATGATGGGACGATTATGATGATGTTGTGTCAGGAGGAGGAGAAGTGGGGAGGAGGAGTGGCTAAGGGGGAGAACGAGAGGAGGAGGAGGAGGAAGAGGACGAGGACGAGGACGAGGACGAGGACGTCGAGGGGGGGGGGAAGGAGGGCATGGCGGTGGAGGAAGGGGGGACAAGGGCAAGGAAAGGCGGAGGATCAGGCGGAGGATCATGAGGAGGAGGAGAAGGAGGAGGAGGAGGAGGAGCAGAAGGAGGAAGAGGTGGATGGGAGGGGCACGAGGGGGAGGATCGGCAGGAGGAAGCCGAGGAAGCCGAGGGGGAGAAGGGAGGAGGAGGACGACGAGGGGAGAACGAGGAGGAGTGGGCTAAGTCGGAATGAATGTGTTTGTCTCTCTCTCTCTCTCTCTTTCTTTCTCTCTCCTTCTGTCTCTCTCTGGCCACGGTTTTGACCCTGCGGCTCATCCCACCAAAAAAGGCACCGCATCAATAAGAAGGAGGAGTGTCAGGAGGAGGGCGACGAGGAAGAGGACAGCGAGAGCGAGAATAGGGATGAGGAGGAGGAGGAGGAAGAGGAGCAGGGAGGGGGTGAGGGGGGAAAAAGGGATTGGGAGAGGATGGGGGAGAGAAGCAAACGCGGCAGGAGTTGCCGGAAAGGGCGGGTACGGCCGAGAGGTTTGGGATAG